GGCTCAGAAGCCCCTACCTCTGGGCCCGGAGCAGGGGGACTCAGTACCTTGGTCTGGTGGTCTGGTGTCCTCTGCGTCTTTGTAGTGTGGAACCAGGTGGCTGCCTGTCTGCAGCAGGGTCTGTATTCATATGTTTATAGCAGCTTTATTAAGAACTGCTCCAAACTGGAAACAATCAAAATGTCCTCCAACTGGTGAGTGGATAAGCACAGTTCCCTGAAGCAATAAACATCTGTACCATATCATACTGCTCAACAGTAAAAAGGAGTGAATATTACTATATGCAGTATGGGTGAATCAGACATGTGTTTTTATTAATTAAAAGATGTGAGACCCAAAATGCTACACACCGTAGCAATGATTCCACTGTGACATGTTGGAAAAGGCAGCACTGTAGACAGATCTGTGATTGCCAGTGCTGGAGGGTGGGAGGGGGATTTGACTATAAAGGGCCAGGACGAGAAAATGTGGGGCATCGATACAACTGTTTAGTATCATGATTGGGGCAGTTGCTACCCGACTATGGATTTGTTGGAGAAAAAGATAAGCAACACTGTGCCGTATTGGGAAAGTATGTTTTTAATGGAGGTTGGATAACTTTGTATCTGTCCACTTATCTATCCATCCATTCATCCACTCACACCCCCTTTTGGTGTGAATATGTGTGTGTGTGCATATATATATATATATATATATATGTATGTATGTATGTTGATTTTTTTATAGATTTTATCTGGAGCCAGGAGGAGCCCCAGAACATGGGTCCATGGTTTTTTGTTTCTCCAAGATTTGAAAAGCAACTGGCCTGCAAGGTAATGGCTCTTTCTTTTAGTGGGGTGTGTGTGTGTGTGTGTGTGTGTGTGTGTGTGTGTGTGTGATTTCTCCCAGAGTGCCAAAAGATGGGTTTCTATTACCAGTTCAGTTCCTTAAAGATAAAAATGCAAAATGTAGCTGTAAATCAGGCACAGTGATATACTCATGTAGTCCAAGCTACTCAGGAGGCTGGAGCAGGAACCTTAGTTGAGCCATGAGTTCAAGACCAGCCCGAACAGTACAGCAAGACTCTGGCTCAAAGACAAGAAGGAAAAGAAAATCTACATTTAAACTACAGCACGGTGCTTGCTTCAGCAGCACATATACTAAAACTACAGCAATACCTCAGTTCACAGATGCTTGTGTTTGCAAACAATTCAGTTCACAAACAAAAGCATTTGGCAAAATTTTGCTTCCATTTGCAAACTCTGCATTGGGTAACAAACATGGCCATGGCCATCTTCCCACACACAAACACAAATGTAGCCATCTTCCCCAAATCGTAAAGCATAGTAAGTTTGTAAACCAAGGCACCATGTATTCCTTTAGAAGGAAACCTGAGTGTTTATGGAGCTGAGTATGTGTACGCACTACGGGCTGAGTATCCTTTATTCAAATGCCTGGGACCAGAAGGATTTCAGACTTCTGAGCTGCTAGGACTTGGGACTGTTCACATAGATTTTATTGACTGAGTATCCTTAAATTCTGAAGTCCAAAATGCTCCAAAAACTGAAACTTGCTGAGTGTCATTTCGATGCTATAAAAGTTTTGCATTTGGAGCATTTCAGAATTTGGACTAAGAATGTTCAACCTGTAATACTGTAATTAGTTGTAGTCAGAAATAGTAGGCACCCTTGCCTGTTGGCCCCTTGCCCACGACCTCCCCAGGATGCCTCATTCAGGCCTAGGAGAAAGAAGCAGGATGAGAAGAGGAGAGGAGAGGAGTCTTGTTTGCAAGGCTCAATAAATCAAAGGCTGGAAAAGTTCTGATTTCCATTAGGAAGGAAAACCAGAAAAGTTTTCTCTTCGTGCTGCTTTGGTTAAAACTTGGTTCCCAGTTTGTTTGTTTTTAACAATAGCTTCCTCCTGTGTGGCTGAGACCCTCTTGCCTCAGCCTCTCGAGTCATTTCACTCATTTGATGCTAGTTGGATAGGCTGAGATCATTTTCACATGTAGCTAGTTGGAACGAACTAAGAAAACTCTAAAGTGAAAGCCAACTGACAGTTACTTAAAGAAAGGACATATGCAAAAAACTTGTTTCACTGTAGCGCTCCTGGAGTTTAGTTATTGGTAGTAGCACCGTGTTTCTCTCTAATCTATTCTCCGTAGCTCATTATTTCTCTGGAGAGGTTATTCCTGGTTAAGCAAGCTAAGAGGAATATACGCACTTTCTTGGTGGAACTTAGCAGGGTTCTGATCCGGTCACAATGTCCTTTGATTCCTTCTCTGCTCCAACGACAGCTCTGTCTCGTGAGCCGACCGCCCTTGGCAGCGCCTGCGGTAGGGATTGGCACACTGCACCAGCAGCAGCACGAAGACATCCTCACCAAGACCTTCACTTGATGATGTCCTTTGAAGAAAGACTACTTTCCTATAAGCAAACTGCCTGCTTCCCCTGCTCTGCCCCTTTCCCTTGGGTAACATGAAAAGTCTGTCTTTCTCTAGTAGGTTATGAATACACCAATCCGACGAGTAAATTTTATCCTGAAAAGAAGAACAGCACTACGTTTTGTTTAGATTTGAGTGAGCTGGAGAACCAGGTCATTAGCTAGATGATTGTGGGGTCCCCTGGAATTAACCACATGTGACCGGGGAAAGTTCTTCAGCCGGGATTTAGAGTCATGTATGGATGACCTCAGCACTGCTGCTTTTATTTGTTTGGTGTATGTCGCTTTCGTTAATTTTTCCCTTTCTTTTTCAAAGTCTTGTGGCTGCCAGTATTTTCATTTTATGTCTTCTCCACTGCCCTTTTCCAGCTACTGTACTAAATGTTCTACCTGACACCAGCAAAACTAGATTGTCCCTGATGCTTTAAGCTTAGGTCCCATTAAATACAATCTTGGGATGTATGATCTTCTAGCCCTATACTTTTAAATCAAGGAGTTCTAGCTATAAGAAAATTGATTTATGGTCTATTTGGCCATAATCTTTTTCCCAAATTGTTCTTGCAGTCCTACCTTATGATTTTTAGCTGACTTTGGTGTCTGTCTTTTGGTGAATTGTGGGAATCCAGCACCTAGTTAATCAGTTTTGCCTCTAAAAGTCCCAGCCGCAGTATGTTTGTCTGTGGTATTTAGACAGCACTCTAACTGTGATAGAAAGACTTTCCCAATGCTGGGTGTTGTAGGATTTCTTCGAGGTCCCCAGCTGACTCACTCTGAACCTAGGACTGGATGCCTAACTGAACAGCAGAGTGTGTAGCTTCACTGGACTCGCTGCTGTGGAGCCTCTGCAGCTACCATCCTTGTGGTGTTTTTCTGAGAAATGAGGGGAAATACTGGGACTAGAATGTACCCACTCCCTCTCTGCTTTTAACAGCAATGAATTGGCTGTGGGCTTCAGAATCAGTGTGTAGGCTGTTCTGGCCACAGCAGTAGATTCCTGGTTTACATCTCCAGTGTGTGGTTCAGTATAATGATTTAACATTTCGAGATCATTCTCCTCCATCTTCGTTCTATCTACCTCAAGGCTTCCTTCTTGTCTCAAACCTTAAAAATCATATAATTTAGCATCACTCATGTAAATCACTAAGACCACAAAGGTCTATTTAATGAGAAAATAAAAGCATAATGCCATTTTTTCTCAGAAGTCTTGGTTTCTTGAATTAAAAGATTTTAAATGTCTAGCTAGAAAAGGAAATAGATGTTTTAAAAACTTTTTGTTTAGCTATCTGTAAATTTTTCCCTAACTTTATACTTACTCACAAGCTTATGATTTCCTGTTACATCTTTTCCAGCCTGAGCTGAGAGGAAGATATCCTGGCATCTCCTTATTCCTCTCAGTCACATCTGCGCCCTTGCAAAAGGAGCCATTTGAAGAATTTCAATCCAATATCCATTACCTTTCCATTGCCAGCACTGCAAAACAAATGCATTGCCTTATTTTAGTTTCTTAAAAATTTACTAATGTGATATTTGTATCCTATTTATATCTATTCCCTGTGTCTAGGACAGTTTCATATTCAAAGAAAAATAGAGCTTAAATTTGATAATCAGTAAGTCAAAATATTAACCACGGAAGAATGTTAATTTTGCTTAAATGACACATTACTCTTAGTAAAATAAAATTTTATTCTTATAAGAACCATTTTGCTCAGTTTTCTTATGTCTTCCATATGCACAGTACTTGGAAAATATTCTGAAACATGGACTTCTTTGATTTTTCTGCATTTCTTTTGTAAAGTTTTACTGTTTTGGATGTAGCTCAGTGTTTGTATTCTCGCTTAGCACGGATGAGGCCCTGGTTCAATTCCCAGAACAGGCAAAAAAAAAAAAAAAATTATTTGACTGACAACTGACAGCGTTCCCAAAACTGAAGAAATAAGGGTTACAAAGGAAGGACGTCACAGATTATGAATCAAGACTTTTGGATGCTGAGTTTCTGAAAGCTTCACTTACATTTTTATTGAGTGTACTTGGACATTCGGTTTTCAATGCCAGCTTCGTATCGGATCCAGGCTGAAACAATCATTGTGGGGTAATTCAGACAAAATGTTTAAATCCTTAATATATAACTACTACACAGAAAACTCCCAAGTTACTTTATGGAAACGATTATTTGATGCTATGTTTTCATTTAAATCTGATAAAAACTCTAAAGCAGACTCATTTCCCCACTGGGAATTACAAAATTAGTCAATTTTAGGAAAAATGTATTCAACTTCTATTACTTTAGTGTTGCTGCTGCATTGTTCCCTCTTCTGACACATGATGAACCAGCTATAAATAAGCAAAAACAATAAATGGTCTTTTAAGTACAGAATGGTATTTCATCAACAGATATGTTACTGAACACCTATGCCAAAATGGCATTGTTTTGGATCTTAGAAATACATGGAAGTAAAAGATAAAATGGTTACCCTTGGTCTTCAATGAACAATCTGAAAAGACAAAGCATTTTAACCTGAGAGAGAGAAATTTTCTGGCTGAATTTGTTAAGCCAATGTGAGAAGTCAAGGTAGAGGGATACCCCTGACAGACGCAGAGTAGGTAATGATGTGGTTTGGGTCTGCAATGGCCCCCAAAGGTTCAAAAAGCTCCACAGCTAGGAGCTGCCGGGAGGTGTTCAGGTCATAGAGGGTGTGACCTTGGAGGGGATAATTCCACCCCAGCCCCTTCTTCTTGCTGTCTGTTGGTTTCTGTCCATGAGGTGAGCAGTTTTGATCCACCATGCCCTCCCCACCCGGATGTGCCGCCTTGCCACAGGCCAAAGGGCCAGGGCCGGTCTGTCATGGACTGGACCTTCTGAAGCCACAAGTTGACTCAAACCTGATCTCTGATTAGGTAATCTATGGCATTTGTTATAATGATGGAAAGCTGACCAACAGAGGTCACATACAGTGGTTGGACAGGGAAGAGTCCTGGGTATTGTATAGTCTAGAAAGATTGAAGAATGGTGGAAGAGTAATTTGCGAAAGTTATCCAGAGTGTTAAAGTGTACCCCCTGGCTCTTGCCTGAAACATGGGAACTATCCCAGATACACAGTAAAGAGAGGTACAGGCTACTCTTCTTCCATCTGTTAGATTTTTCAGTGTAGTTCATTCTTACTGAAAGGACACTATATACATGCAATTAGCTGACAATTTTGTGTCAAAACTGCATTTATGTCGATCGAATGCAGGATACTGATGATAACAAAAATTAAGGCCCCTCAAGTTTACCATGCAGTAGGGGAGATTAGACAAGTATGAAAATGACTAACAGAGTACACTGAGGTAAAGATGAGTTAGAAGAATGGGAGATTGCGACTGTAGTAAATCGTTTTCCAAAAGTGTCCATCACTTCTTCCAGAAGCTTCCTCCTCTTTTGCTCTCCTTGAAGCTGAGCAGACCTTCCTGGCTGTCTACAAACAGTGCAGTAAATGAGACGCTCAGTCACTGCTAGGACGTACCTTGGCACCCATCGACCCTGTCGTGAGGAAGCCCAGGCCCAACGGAGGAGCCATGTGGAGGTATTAGAGCTCGGAGCCAGAAAATGCATAATTTTCCTCTTTAGTATGGATCTGAACATTAGAACACATCCTTGGATCTGGCTGTATGTTCTTAGTTACAGTAGAGGAGGAGTCTCATAAGCTCTTAACTACATATGATATGTCACATCTTTATAAAATTCCAGGAGGCTACAACCCAGGCCTTTGGTACCTGTGTTTTTTTTTTCTAGTCCTGGGGACTGAAACCGAATCCGGGGCCTTCGCACTGCGCTACATCCTCAGCCCCACCCCTACTCCGCCCGGTTTTTAAATTTTGAGGCAAGTTCTCGCTAGATTGCTAAATTGCCCAGCCTGGGCTTGAACTTGCAAGCCTCCCGCCTTCGCCCGCCGAGGCCCGCCCCGAGGTACTGGACTGGCGGACGCGGCCTCTCCCCCGCCGCTAGGTCGGTCAGCCCCCTGCCTGGCGCTGGGCCCGCCCCTCCGCAGCGCCGGCGGTGACCATGGCAACGCGGCGGCGACCGGCCAACCGCCAGAGCCGGTCTGGGGGCGGGGCCGGGAGGCGTCACGTGACGCAGGCGGGGCCTGCGTCGGGCCGGTGGAGCGTGACGGGGCAGCCGAGCTCGGGAGCTGAGCGGAGGCAGCGCCGAGGCCTCGGGGCCCTGCGAGCCTCCCTGCCGCCATGGGCAGTGAGTAGCGGCGGCTGCCGGGCTCCGCGGGCGCGGGCTCTGCCGGCGCTGCGCGCTGCGGGGCCGCGCCCTCGGGGTCTCCAGCCGCGGGCCGGGGATGCGCGCGCCGCGCCGGTCAGCGGCGGAGGGCGCGGGGCCGGGGCCTCCGCCGAGCTCCTCGGGTCGAGCGAGGCCTCGCCGGGCGGGCGGCGAAGCCGGGACCCGAGGCCCGGGCTGGCGCTGCAGGGGTGGCGAGCAGCGAGGCTCCTGCCGCGGGCAGGCCTGCGTGCGGGAGCCCGGGCAGGCGCGCTGGGGGGACCAGGCCCCCTCGTCGTTTTCTGGAGCTGAGGAAGCGCCTGTTTTCCTTCCCGAACCGCCCTTCCTCGGCCTCACGGTTGCGACGAAGAAGGCTCCTTGAGTCGTTTAATTAAAAACAACAACAACAAAATGATGCATGGCATGTGTTTTAGGGAGGCAGCTCACCATTTCCTTAAAATGTTCATTCTGGTCGTTCCGCGGCGCTTACTGAAGACTGGAAGGTGGTGTCAGCTTTAGGGACAAGGCCTCTTATTACGGGGACCCTTGGAAGGCCTTCCCCCCAAGCCCACCCCCTCCCCACACCCTGGGTGTTCAGTGTGTGTTGGATGAATTAATGAATACCCGAGCGACGCCCCGCTGGTCAACTAGACATGGGGAGAACTAGAAAGGAAGTAGAGACCCCGGCCTTAATTTAAGTGAAATGAGTAAAATTCTCCAACACAAGGATGAACAAGTGGCAGGGGAAAGCAGTGCTTGACCATGAATGTCCCAGTAGAAATGACCATAAAATGCTAAGAGATCTAGGAAAGTGGCTGGGGTTGAGGTGTGAAGCAAAGGGGTTGAAGCGCTTCTAGGAAGTTTAATGGTGATGCTGATATTTGATTTGCCTTAGAGTTAAATGCTTTCACATTCAGACTCACTTTCCTGGATAACAGACCTCTACGATAACAGACTGCTGTCGTTTGGGGAGGTTAAAAACAGTGTAGCCAGCTTTTGCCTGTGGAGGTGTAATTTGTGCCAGCTTTGAAACAATTTCAGGGTGTTAGTGTACAGAATCCAGTGCCTGTGGGGAAGATCGGATTCCCAGTTCACCGTGGCTTGTGTTTCTGCACAGTAGGTTCTTGGAGTAAGACTGACGCTGGGGAGATTGTCTTCATCTTCCAGTTCTGTAGCAGCCTTGACATGTCAGAAGAGGGTGTCATTCACAAAGGGCCTTGGCCTGTCTTACTTTTAGGTGCTGAAAGCAGTAGTCCGGGAAAGCATCCCTTTCTAATGCAGTGTACAGTCGTTGTCACTATCTGGGCTTCCTTCTAAGCAAGCACTCCGATATTGTATAGTTTTAAATTTGAACTATAGAAATGATTTCCTGATCTTTCTCCCTTGATGAAGTTGGCATCTTTCAGTTCTTTAAGTCACTTCTGCAGGTTAAGCCCATTTCCTGTTCTACTTTCCTCAGTGGAGAAGGCATCCTCCTCTGTTTCTCCTTTTAGATATTTTCTTCTATAATGCATTGGCTCGCGGGTACCATACAGACTGCATGCTCCTTTTGTTTGACATAGTGATATTCTGAGTAATTCCTTTTCTGTGTATCTGAAAGGACTGGACACAAACATGAGGAATCAAAATCAGGATTACTTTGCTTCTACTGACTATCCCGCACACCATTTGGGTTCTTTCTTCTCTTAAATTGTATCTCTCCCTATAACTCACTTGAAATGGAGAGCATTAGGATTCTTTAATTTGGAGAGACGGGGTAAATTCTTCTTGAAATTAAAGAACATTTTATTTGATTCTGTAAAAAGGCAGGTTTTTTTTTAAAAAACACTTTGTAATAGAGACATTTGTTTCTTGTTTTTTACAGTCAAATTTTTAGAAGTCATCAAACCTTTCTGTGCAGTTCTACCAGAAATTCAGAAGCCTGAAAGGAAAGTAAGTTACTATTTTAGTGATTTAGAAGGGTAGTGGAATGGCTTACTCTACTAAACCAATAAGACTGATTTACTTTTCCCGGTACTTTTTTGTCTGTAATTGGAAAAATATTACCCATGCATCCTCCTTGGCCCAGAGTAAGTAAAAGAATCGTAGACCTGCTTAAGTCTACATACATTTCTTATGCTTCCAAAAATCACTGTTCTTTGGGGCCGGGGATTTAGCTGCCTGCCTCGCAAATGCAAGGTCCTGAGTTCGATCCCCGGAGGCCCCCCCCCCCCAAAAAATGACTGTGCTTTAAATTTTAATGTTGTCACACCAAGTCTTTCTTTGGCCCACCTGTTGGTGAAGATACATAAAGTATTCTTCTGTCTACAGTGATTTTTATAATTTTTGTAGTGTAGGGCAATGTATTGTGCTTTGCTGCACTACGAATGGCCCAGTCTGCTGGGTAGTTTTTGATGAGTTCAGATGTTTGATGCAAATGAATTCTGATTGTATGAGTATGTCCCTGGCACGTTCGGATTCAGTCACTGAAAAGAAGAATGACTGGAACGCATTAGATGGTCTTGTAACTGAATTAGCAGGACTAGGGACAGAGAAAGAAATGGGTAAAACGTATTAAATTTAATAATTTATTTATAGTTATATTTTTTAATAATTTGACATGGTAAAAATAGTCAATTCCAGTTATATTAAAAGCATCCTAGGAGACCCTTTTTATTGTTTAGGAAATATCGTAGACTGCCTATATAGTATTATAAAGCTGTGTAATATTATAGGCATCCTAGATGGGCCTGACACATTGTTAACTGAGACACGTGGGTGTCTTGCTTTGCCTCCTTTTCAGTTTTATTTACCACGGTACAGTGCACGTGAAGGCTGCCTGTGTTTAAATTACCTTTCTTTTTGAAAACTAGAGACATGTTTGAGAAGTTCAGCTGTTTATTTCAGCTGTTGCACATTTAAATAGTAGATAACAGGAACATGTCATGATGGGGAATGGTGATTACGCTTTGAGGAGGATTTTTGCTTTACATTTGTATTTCTTGGTTTGGATTGATTGTTCTTTGTATTTTGTTGTACAGATTCAGTTTAGAGAGAAGGTATTATGGACTGCTATAACTCTCTTCATTTTCTTAGTATGTTGTCAGGTACGTAACTAATATCTGTGCTGTTCTAAGATCCTGATGAGTTAGAATTTGAGAAGCATATTTTAGTTAAAATAATCAATCCCCTGAACTATATTAAGCGTTGCTATTCCTTTTAACCTTTATTATTTTGTTGCGGGTGCTGGAAATTGAAGCAGCGCCTTCCCCCACGTGAGGCAAAAGCCTAGGGCAGAAGCTCTACCTCTGAGCTATTCCTCAAGCTCTGATCTGAATTATTTTGATAGTAAAAGTGGTATCTTCTTTGTATGTTCCTATTGGCTAACTAGTAAGTCTGAACATTTTTTTTCCCTTTTTTGTTTCTGTTTTCAGTAGATAGTCTCTGCCCATTTTTTTCTTGATATATTTAATTTTTTTCTTACTGGTTTAATATAATTTTGTTTTTGTTTTTCTGGTACTGAAGATTAAACTTAGGACCTTAACCCTAAGGCGCAAACCCAGCCCTTGTTTTCTTTTTAATTAAAAAATTTTTTTGGTACCGGGGATCGAACTCGGGACCTCGGGCTTGCGAGGCACGTGGCGGAACCACTGAGCTAAATCCTGGCCCTAGTTTTTATTTTGAGACAGGATCGTTTCAAGTCCTTAAGCTGCCTAGGCTGAGCTTGCATTTGTGATTCCCCTGCTTCAGCCCCCCAGAGTGCTGGGATTGCAGGAATGCATGCACTGTCATGCATGGTTTAAGATAGTTTTTTATTATAAGAAAGCAACTTACATCTTGCAAATGTTTTTCCAGTTTACCTTTTATAATGTTGTGAATAGTGTATATTAATGTAAATATCCCTAAAAATAAGGTTTTAAAACCTCAGTGATATACTTTGTTCAAAAATCAGTAAGATCCAGGCTGCAGCCTAGCAGTAGACCCCTTGCTCAAGGGTTGGAGCACAACTCCTAGCACTGTTAAAAAAATTAGTCCAATGATATTTTAAAATTTCATACATAAAAGTACAAAACTGTAATTTTTTATTTTTTTGGTACCAGGGATCGAACTCGGGACCTTGTGCTTTCGAGGCAGGTGCTGGAAACCCTGAGCTAAATCCCCGGCCCAAAACTGTAATATTCATTAGAGTATTTTAACAAAAAATTTTTCAGAGGGATTAAGTACATAAAATGAGGGCAAAATGTGATCTGGGTATGTCTCATGGTTGTAAGGATAAAAGATAATTTAGGGCATATATATATATTTTTTGGTACCGGGGGTTGAACTCGGGTCCTTGAGCTTCCGCACCAGGCGGCCAAACCACTGAGCTAAATCCCTGGCCCCTAGGGCACATTTTTTGAGGATTTTTAAAAGTTACTAAGATAGGTATAAGGAACTTGTAGAAAATTGTGTTAGCAGAGGGCTGGGGATTTAGCTCAGTGGTTCTGTCACCTGCCTCACAAGCACAAGGTTCCGAGTTCAATCCCCGATACCACACACAAAATTGTGTTCGCAGAACAGACTAGGTTCATAGTCTGTAGAAAAGCCGAATATTTTCTTTTTGAAGGATGAAATAAGGTCATTAAGGTACTTGCTTTAAATGTGTTTTGGACGGTCATGAAGAGAGAAGTTTTAAAAATTATAGAAGAGTATAAAGCAAAAAAGAACCTCTACTGTTTACTTTGAACATCTTGGAAACTCCCCTCCCCTCCTCAAAAAAAATCCACTTTAAGGAGGTATGACATGCATATGAAAGTATACCCATTTTAAAAAGTATATATTTTGAAGAGTTTTGACAAACATGTACACCCACAAACTACTTACAGATACCCAAGTAGATACAGAACGTTTTTATACTTCATTTAAATTAAAAGCTTCTCTTCAGAGGACATTGTTTAGAAAATGCAAGGCAGAGCACAGACCAGGAGAACTTACTCATAAAACCTACATCTGACAAAGGACTTGCATCTAGAAAATATTAAAAATGTTTGTAATTCAGGGCTGTGGATTTAGCTCAGTGGTTCCACCGCCTGTCTCACAAGCACATGGTCCAGAGTTCAATCCCTGGTACCCCCCCCCCCAAATGTTTGTGATTCAATAATTTAAAGAAATTTTTTAACATAATGGAATTTTTATAAAGAGTAAGCTAAAATTTGTTTTTCTTTTTGTTTTTTGGCTATGTTGGGCCAAATCCCCAGTGCCAGGCAACCACCGATCTGGTTTCCGTCACTACAATTGATTTGTCTTTTCTAGAATTTCATATAAATGGAATCATGCAGTATTACTCTTTAGTGTCTGATTTTATCATTGTATTTTTGACATTCATCTGTAATGTTAGTAATCCGTAATTACATCAGTAAGTCACTTTTATTTTTAAGTAGCGTCCTGCTGCATGAATCTATCACAGTTCATTCCCTTGTTGAATGTTTGGCCATAGTGAAGTAGCTATGAACATATGTGTACAAGTTTTTCCATGGACAGTTGAGTGATAAATACATGTTCAACTGTATAAAAAATTGTCAGCTCGTTTGCAAGTGGTGGCTCTGTTTTTTATCTCTACCAGCAGCCATGTATTGGAGTTCCACTTGCTCTGCATCCTTCTGTACTCTTGGTATTGTTGGTCATTTTAATAGTAGCACTAAGAAATGATATGGAAATTTTAATTTCCATTGCCCTGACAATTTGCTGATGACACTGGTGGTACTTCGGTTCACCAACCCAGTTCTCTCCACAGTTCTGGTCCCAAATCCAATTTCCCCCTAAGGTCAGCATTGAACCTAACTTGAATGAATTTGATTCATTTCTTGTCCAACTTGATTTGTAACCAGAATTGTGGGAAGAACTAAGTTCATGAACTGGAGTACCACTGTTACAGTGGAGTGGGCCAGAATGGTCCAGGTTCTGGTGCTTAGCAAGGGACTGCCGAGCTTACACCTCATAGCAAGCTGCTACATTTATGGAAGATCATGGGATGGCAACAAGAACAAGCCGAAGGAAGAGGAACTCTCCCAGGGCTTCCTGACAGGACTCTGCTTCCAGTATTTAAAGGGTCAGATGCCTCTCACTGCAGGTGCCTCCCATTGTGGTCAGACGCCTCTGACTCCAGGTTCCTCTCATTTTGTTTCTCACTGGCGTGGAAACTAATGATCTGCCGCCTCGGGCATCACGACCGCCTAAGTAAACATGGAAAATCCGCAGGCAGTGCCGGCCCACAGCTGAGCGAAGGGAGAGGAGCGGCTCATGACTGGACCGCACCATGGGCCAGAGGAAGGAAGCTCTGCAGCACACATACCTGCACCTGCCACCCTAACTTGTGCATAGCACTTTATTTTCGGTTCCCAATGCTTTTTGAAATCCTTCATGCTGATTTGCTGTTTCTCCGTCTGATCAGTGGAAGTTTCCATTAGAACATGGAGCAGTCTCTTTTTCCAAAAGACTATACTGTATTTTACCAAGTTTGTAAAAAGAAAAACTTGACAACAAGAGTTTATTTGAGCGTTGAAGGGATGGTGAATCTGGCAGCACTGCTTCAGCCCCTCTGAAGAGGCTCAGAGAGCTCTGCTCGGGAGGCTTGGGCCTCGGCTTTTATAGGTTGACTGTGGGGGAAGGGAACTGCTCGATTAGGTCCCCCTCGCTGTTTGCTGTGTTTTGGTACAGTCTGATGGGAGGTCTCTACACAGCCATTGGCTGCTTGGCTATCTTGATTGGTTGGAGCGAGATTCAAATTTAGACCTTCCTGAAGTTGTCTGTGTGTTCAGAAAGAAACCCAGGCTAATGGCCTTCTGCTTAATTTCCTTAACAAGTTGAAAGGGATGGTGATATGTATGATATTGCCACTGTGTCAGATGCACAGGAAACAGCTCCTGTTGCTGCGCAAGTGTTCACAGGACTGCAGCTACAGGATTTATGGAGAAATAAGATTAGAGCTAGTTTTAATAATCCTGTTGACTGTAGGAAAAGAGAACATGCTGTTATTTAGGGGAAGTTGGGACTCTTGTTTGCTTTCCCACACAACAGCTAGCCATGAAGTAATCGATGTCTCAGGAAAGAAGTCAGACCAATTAACTTTTTACTTCGAAGATATCCTAGTGTTAATTGGTTGTTGTACAATAACTTCCTTCCTCTTCATTGCTCACCTTAACTGAAGAGTGTCCTTAGCTGCAGGTTATATTTAAAGTATGTATGCTTCATGCTTCACCAGTTTTGTTACCTAGGTAATAAATTCAGACTCAAACAGGTTTAGTTGTTTAAGATCGCTGGGCTGGGCGCAGTTGCACATGCCTGTTGTCCCAGTCTCTCTGGAGGCTGAAGCACAAGGACCAGGATGAAGCCCAGGAGTTTGAGATCATCTCGGGTAACTTAGGGACCTCTCCACCTCAAGAAAATAAATAAAATTGCTGGTAGCATCTTTTGGAACTTGTTTTTAAAGTTTCATATAGAGAAATTTTTGGAAAGCAGTAATGTATTTTTCTTTGTGTCTCATCTTCACATGATTGAGGAAGGAGACATGGCTGCTATATCCTAAGCAAGGGGCATATGATAGGAAGCAGTTCAAAGTTCAGGTGTGGTATTTTTCTCCTTAGTTAAGAATTAATAAGTGCTCATTATACAATATTTGATATATCCTGAAAATAATATCATTCATAATCTCACCACCCAAGGATAATCACCATTTAAGATTTTAAGATATCCTTAGTTTTATTTTCTATACCTATTTTTTACAGTGTTGAAGTTTCTTTTTTCTTTTTTTGTAGGGCGGGAGGTGGATCCCAGCCCTTGGCATCCTAGGCAGATGCTCTATAACTGAGCTACATCCCCAAACACCAGTGTTGAAGTTTTAAAAAATTTATAGTTTTGTGTCTTTATATATTTAGTTACTTTTGCAGCGCTGGGGCTTGACCCCAGGACCTTACACATACCTGGCCAACCCTCTACCGCTGACGAACCCCAGCCTCTGGACCTGTGTTCTTATACTAGGCTTAATAGTGGCACTGTTGGATTTTAGGCATTTTAGGAATTTATTTTTGTTACAGGGGTGCGGGTGCTGCACTGCTCAGTGTAGGATGGTCAGTGCCCCTGGCCTCCATCTATTACATCCCAGGAGCATTGTCTCCACCGAGCTGTGACAACCAGAGGTGACAGTTCAGAGGTGCCAGGTGTCCCCTGGAAGGGCAAATCACCACAGATTGAGAACTGTTTTACATGTAATATTATAAGCTCTTCTCTGTGTCATTACAAATTTCTTAATCATGATTTTTGTTGGCTAAATGTATTTTACTGTATGTTTCTTTGTCAGTCTTTTTTTTTCCTGATACTGGAGATTGAACTCGGGACCTTGCACTTGCCAGGCAGGCGCGGTGCCGCTGAGCTACATCCCTGGCCCTTCTTCATCAGTCTTATATCTATGGGTTTGATCTTGGTTGATTAGTACCTATAGCTTTCCACAGCTATTCTGTGACTAGGCAGATATTTATGCTAGGATGGGATATTTCTTTCTCAATTATGGTAAGAAACAAAAAGATTTACCATCTTAACCACTTTTAGATGTATAGTTTAGTAGTGTTCGGTATGTTTGCATTGTTGTACAACAGTTCTCCATATTGACAGGAGTATTTACTTGTGAAATGTACCAAGTAATGATTTCTACTGTTAAAGAACTTTACCTTTTAAAATATGTTTGCTTTTGCTCTTGAACATGAGACATTTTTTAAATAAAGTGTTGCAAACATTAAGTGAATGCATTATAAGTTAAATGTAAAGTTAATTTATGTAATACATTTTTATGCAAAATTCGTGCAATCTTTTAGATACCACTGTTTGGAATCATGTCATCAGATTCTGCAGACCCTTTCTACTGGATGAGAGTCATTCTTGCATCCAACAGAGGTGTGTACTTCTTTTCTTTTTCTCTCTATACCACTTGTGATATCAAATAGATATAAATAATGTAGATTAACAAGTATTTTTTGATATGTCCAGGGAGGAGAGGACATGAGAACAGGAACCCATTGCATAGAAGAAACCAACATGTCCATAGTGACAATGCTGTGTGTTTATTATAACAGTAGACAGAGAGATCTGTCTGTGGGTTTTTCACAGTCTAGAGACGCTGTTCAGTAATTGGCGAGACGCTGCACTTGAAGTGGAGTTTAATGTTTGAATCAGTGAGACAGGAAAGCCTGAGCCAGGTCCCCAGGTGTAAAACAGAGTGGTGGGTGAGAGGCGAAGCTGGTAATGAGGCTAACCAGAAGGCGGAGGCTGCTGCATTTCAGGAATCACAACTGCCTATTTTTTGAAGACACTTTAAATACCTGACAGGTATTTTAAAATAATCTTTTTAGGCTATAAAAGTATTATTTGTTTCTTTTTAAGGTGCACCACAATTGATAACAGATTTATATGAAACAAAAAACAAAAATCTCACTTCTGAACAGGGGTTTCCAGGAAATTGATAGATTGGCAAATTCTTTTGCATATCTCTTAACATAGGAAAATCTGTATACTTAAAAAAAACCACTGTACATGCTATGTTGTTATTCAGTTTTTTTTTTAATTTTTTTCCCCCCATTAAGTTTATTGGTACAGTTTAGGTATAAAATACATTTACATACATCATTGGGATCTTGTACCATTACTTGAGTATCTTGGTTCTTATTTTTTTCCCCTTCCCCTGCCCTCCCTTCACCCCCTCCACCCTTCCCTATTTGCAAAGACTTTGTTTCCATTT